TTTCTAACTCTCTTTACAAGACTACTCAGAGAGCAACTTGCTGAGTTTTCTAGACATTCTCTTTATAATGAAGGGAAGATCCCTGTTGCTGTCAATGAGATATATTTTTTAAATGCTGGCTGGCCTCATGTACCACCAAGAACCCAACCTCTTAGGGTGGCATAGCATCAGAGGGAGGAAAGAAAGTGGAAGATTCCTTGGCTATTCAGGCGCATAACATCACATTTGGTTAGCAGATGAATCGCACAGCAATTCAAGAAAGAATGAGGATTGACATCTCCGTTAATAAAGATGACATATCCCAACAGTGACCAAAGCGGGAAGCACATGTCTGGCTAATCCAGGTCGGCAAGGCATGCTGGTGTTTTTGTGGCCACGTAGGAGGCAGAAAAAGAGACACAAAAAGGGTAAAATGCAAAATACGCCCAGGCTGGCATCTTTTAAGCTCCATGCAGTGATGCTTATATTTAGCCAAATATCTTGCAAGAGCTTGTCTGTTTCCCAGCCTTTTTCTGGTTCCACCTTTCCATCTCTGTCAGGGTTATTTTTCTTTCCTTTTTAATTTTTATAAGACTAATTCTGTTCGTATCTACTGTAGACACCTTGCAGTGTTTTTCCTTCCATCCTAATTAACACAGCGGTGCTGCTTTTTCTTTGCTCAAGATGGTAGGAAGGGATTGCATGAAGAGGTGGGAGAGAAGAGTCGGGGAGGCATTTGCTTTATCTGCATAAACAGGCCCTAAATGCAAAGGTTCAGAATTTAGGGCTCAGAATGAAGAACAGTCAGAGCTTGAAGACTTACTTTTGGAAGAATACAACTCAAAGAATTCCTTGTCTGTGTTTTTCACACTCTAATTAAACTTCTTTCTCAGCCCACTGCACTGAAGGTTAATCAATGGATCATAGGTCCTAAGTCATGAGGAGCAAGCTTGCATGGAACAACAAGTCCTACACTTTTAAGGGTCTACTCACACTACAAAATTATAGTGCTAGATTCCACATTAAATGTTCTACCTGTATTCTGTGGCATCCTGAACTTTATAGTTTCAGAATATAGGGCTCAGAATTAAGAATAGTCAAAGCTTGAAGTCTTACTTTTGGAAGAGTATAACCCACGGAACTCCTTGAATGTGTTTTTCACACTCAAATTAAACTCTCTTCCCCAACCCACCACACTCAAAGCTAACCAATGGATTATAGGTCCTAAATCAAGGCCAGCAAGCTTGCAAGGAACAGCAAGTCCTAGACTTTTTAGGGTCTGCTCAAACTACAAAATTATAGTGCTAGAGTCCATTTTAAATGTTCTATCTATATTCTATGGCATCCTGAACTTTATAGTTTGGTGAGGCACCCGAGCTGTGTGTCTGAGAAGTCTAAATATGCTAGACTACAAATCCCAGGGTTCCATGGATTAAAGTAGAATAAAGAGCTATAATTGTGCAGCGTGTGCCTGGTTTCCTGGTAGCTGCAAGAGTACTCATATAATCCATCATGGAGCCCCCATTGGCACAATGAGTTAAACCCTTGTGTCAGCAGGACTGAAGACTGACAGGTTGCAGGTTTGAATCCAGGGAGAGCGCGATGAGCTCCCTCTGTCAGCTCCAGCTCCCCATGCGAGGACATGAGAGAAGCCTCCCACGAGGATGGTAAAATATCAAAACATCCAGACATCCCCTGGGCAACGTCCTTACAGACGGCCAATCCTCTCACACCAGAAGTGACCTGCAGTTTCTTAAGTCTCTCCTGACACAAAAAAAATCTATGATCAGCCCTATAACTTAGTATCATCATCATCAACAGCAGCAGCATCCAACTGAGAACAATAAGCAAGAAAGGCTTGGGAACAGGAAGCAACAGCAAGATTTTGTAGATGTGTGCACCATGCCCAATGTTCCCACCATCATACAGATACCCAGCTGCACATTGACTAATCTGTCAATTGGGATAGAGAATCGACACTGGATTTTAGTCTGATAAACACCAAAGGAGCTATCAGTGGTGCTGACGGGGGAGGTCTAGGCTTCAGCACTTTGGATAGTTCCCTTCGTGATCAGCCTCAAACACAGAGTAAAATGATTCCCTTGCTGATATGGAACCACCAGCTCTCACTGACTGTTGGAAAAGGCTGTCTCCCATCACTACAGCTAAAATAAGTTGAGCTGCCAGCCTGATTTTGTTTCTATACATGGAATGGAAGAGGGCACCATCCCCGTCTGTGCTTCAGGCTGCAAAATGTCTTGAGCCAGGCCTGTCATGAGTGCAGATGGGTGCCTCTTCCTGCCATTTGCAAATATATTTTGTCATTCAGATTTAGTAATTGATGGCAAAATAAGTCAGTACATTGTTAAGACCAAAAATAGGATTTGTAACCAGGATCAATCTTTGCATTAGCTAAATTAAGGCAGCTTCTGCAGAAACCAGATTTGAGGCATCATGAAAAGGCCACACATTGTTAAAATGTATTATCTTTTAATGTTTATTTCCAAAACAGAAGATAAATTAACCTTTTCTTCCTCAGGTGCCAAAATAACTTAACTGCTTTGGGTTCTTTGAGCCTAAAGTAGCAAAATATATTGGGCCAATTCTACATCTAGTTGTGCTTCAACTCGCAAAAACAGGCAAAGGTCTCACCCTGGAGGCTGGGACTGGAAAGCTGTCTCACATTTTAGTTCCCTGCCAATCCTTTCCCTAAAAGATCCAGGCTGTTGTAGGGAACTGAAATCCTTTGAGTGAGTCACAGTGCTTTTATGCCCAGGTACAGCAGCATGATCTAATTTTTTGGGCATCAGAGTTATGTTCCAACTCAACAGCAACGAAAATCACACCCAAATCATCTTATCAACTGTATCAGACTTCCAAATGTCCATTTCCAGGGGGGTGGGACAATGAGAGATCCAGAAGAGATGCATCCAGCTATTTTCCTTTAGCTCAGTGGTTCTCAACTTATGGGTCCCCAGATATTTTGGCCTCCAATTCCCAGAAATCCTAACAGCTGGTAAACTGGCTGGGATTTCTGGGAGTTGTAGCCCAAAACACCTGAGGACTGCTCTTAGCTGGATACACAGCAATGGCGTAATCTTTTGGGAGCACTAAGGACCCCAGGAAGATCCCTGTGGATGCTTAGTGCAGTGTGTCCATCTCTGGAGCTCTCTACAGACACAGAAATAGCTGTCTGGTTCAAGGGAAAGTTGCTGCACTGAAAATATCAGTTTTGGGGTAGTTGCAGCAGGAAATATATCATAGTTACATGCCAGAGGTGCATCTCCTAAGATACGTTCTGCAGCATCAACTACATACTGCCTATCACTCCTGCTGCTCCCTCTCCAAGTAAACCTAGGATCACTGTTTTAGGAGAACCAAGTTCATTGGCCTATCCTATGCCATCAGCCCTGAAACCTTTAGACTTATTTTTGAAATAGAATTTTTAAAGTAAAGTTTGTCTACATGTGGTGCAGCTAACATAAGATGTTGCCATGTCAGATGAAGTGGAATTACAGTACTATATTTGTAAAGTATGAAACAAACTTCAGTATTTTCAGTCCATAGTGATGTATGATTAGATGCACATCACATCCTCGGGGTTAATTTATCAAAATAGTGATGTTCATATCCATTTTGAGATCCCTAAGGCCCCTTCTGGCATATAAACTCCAATTTATCTTCTTTAAACCCAATTATATGGCAGTGTAGACTCATATAATCCAGTTCAAAGCAGTTAATATGGATTATCTGCTTTGATAATCAGGATTATATGGCAATGTTGAAAGGGCCTAAATCTCCAGGTCACACTCCAGGCTATCCCACTGAAAGGATATGAATGATATTTGAGCCCCACCGTTAAAATCTCTCTGTATTTTATTATGTACTAGCTTTACCCACCACGCATTGCTGTGGCCAATCTTCCCTCCCTCTTTCTCTCCTTCTTTCCCTCCTTCCTTCACTCCCTCTTTCCTTCCTTCCTTCCTTCCTTCCTTCTCCTTCCTTCCTTCCTTCCTTCCCTTTTTTCTTTCCTTCTCTCCTTCCTTCCTTCTCTACCTCTTTCCTTCCCTTTTTTCTTTTCATCCCTCTTTTTCTCCTTTCTTCCTTCTCTACCTCTTTCTTTCCTTCCTTCCTTCCTTCCTTCCTTCCTTCCTTCCTTCCTTCCCCTTTCTGTTTTTCATCTTCTTTCTTTCCCTTCTTCTTTCCTTCCCTCCTCTTTCCTTTCTTCCTCTCTCCTCTTTCCTTCCTTCCTTCCTTCCTTTCTTCTTCCTTCTTCTTCCTTTCCTTCCTTCTTTCCTCCTTTCTACTTTCTCTCCTTTCTTCCTTCTCTACCTCTTTCCTTCCTTCCTTCCTTCCTTCCTTCACTTTTTGCTTCTATCCATACTTCTGTCTTTCCTTCTTTCCTTCCCTCCCTCTTTCTTCTCCTTTCTTCCTTCTCTACCTCTTTCCTTCCTTTCTTTTTTCTTACCTTCTCTTCCTTCCTTCTCTACCTCTTTCTTTCCTTCCCATACCTTTTTCTTTTTCTTTTTCTCTTTTCCTTCTCTACCTCTTTCCTTCCTTCCTTCACTCTTTGCTTCCATGCTTCCTTCTCTCTTTCCTTCTTTCTTTTCCTCCCTCTTTCTTTCTTTTCTTTCTTTCTTTCTTTTTTTCATTCTCTCCTTTCCTACCTCTTCCTTCCCTTTTTCCTGTATTGTCATTTAGCTTTTAATCATTTAGCTTTCTGGTGTTTTTAAGTCCTTTCCACTTTTGTGGGGGGGGGGTATGAGTGCTGGTCACTCATTGGTCTATTAGGGATATAGTGTCCAAATTTGGTGTCAATTCGTCCAGTGGTTTTTGAGTTATGTTAATCCCACAAACGAACATTACATTTTTATTTATATAGATGGAGTAAGTGGAATTCATCAAGTTACTCCGTATGACACTCTGGAAATGTTTCTATTGCTCTATAGCTGTGAGGTTTGATCTTCAATCCCTGGGGCTTTTTTCCCACCTCTAATCCCCATCTCCCATTTTGTCTTCAGTCAAGACAGACACCAGAAGGTGAATTCCTGCCACTCGACCAATGTGAACTTGATGTTGGATTTGGAACCGGGGCCGACCAATTGTTCCTTGTCTCTCCTCTAACCATCTGCCATGAAATTGATGACAAGAGTCCTTTCTTTGCCCTCTCACAAAGATCGCTCAGAAGTGAGCAGTTTGAAATTGTTGTCATCCTGGAAGGTATTGTCGAAACAACAGGTAAGAGATTGAGCCCAAACTAAACAAAAGCAACAAACAGTAAATATTTATGGAACACATTCAAGAGTTCTGAGTATTTCATGTGTTTTAGTAATCCATACAACAGTTCCATATGGTAAACCTGTATTATAATCCACTATATTGCTAGTAGAGAGACTGGGGTTGAGAGACAGTTTGCCCAACAAGGCCAATTGGTGGTGAACTCTTAGCAAAGATGAGATTCAAACTGTGGACGTCTTGACCCATTACTCCATGCCCTTTCACACCGCACAATCAGAATGCTATGATTCCACCTCAACTGTCATGTTTTTGTGCCATGAAATCCGGCATTTGTAGTTTCAGGAGGTATGAAGGAGCCCCCGGTGATGCAATGGGTTAAACCCTTGTGTTGCCAGTACTGAAGACCGACAGGTTGGAGGTTCGAATCCAGGGAGAGTGTGGATGAGCTCCCTCTGTCAGCTCCAGCTCTCCATAAGGGGATATGAGAGAAGCCTCCCACAAAGATGGTAAAACATCAAAAACATCCTGTGTCCTTTGGGCATCGTCCGTGCAGACGGCCAATTCTCTCATACCAGAAACGACTTGCAGTCACTTCTGACATGAAAAAAGGAGATATGAAGAATCATCCAAAAAACTTTACTGCCTCATCAGACTAGAAACTTCAGAATTCAATAGCATGTAGCTATTGGCAGTTAAAGTGGATCCATGGTGATATAATGGTGTAATATGAACGGAACCTTTGTCTCTTTGGTAGGAGGCTATAGTGATGTATGATTTGGAGGTTAGTTTTTTGCTCATGTCTGAGGTTCAGATCCATTCAGACAGTCAATGGATTTTGTATAGTTAATTAGGGGATGTCTCCAATGGTAAGATATACTCTTTCTGTGCAAAAGCATTGTTTTCTTTACCTTCCTTTCACACATCCCAAGGCCAAGCCCTGCTTTTGAAGCAGATTTCATTCTGGAGTTGAATTTCCATTCAAATTGCTCTCTTTGTATCTTTTGAAATATAACTGAAAGTGGCTGTTTTAGTTCCTTTTGAGAAATGGGGGTGTAATGAATGTATTTAAAATCTCTATATAGTCGGTTTTGACTTTTGCAAGTTTTATTAAGGCGTTCTGTGTAGGAGTCTCTAGGTCCTCCAATGCTATTCTATGTGGAAACTAGAGAATCTAGAGGCTCCTAGAGAAGTATTTTATCTGTCTGTCTATCTATATATCTATCGGAGCCCCCGGTAGCACAGTGGGTTAAAGCATTGAGCTACTGAACTTGCTGACCAAAAGACAGCAGGTTCAAATCCGGGAAGTGGCATGAGCTCCTGCTATTAGCCCCAGCTTCTGCCAACCTAGCAGTTTGAAAACATGCAAATGTGAGTAGATCAATAGGTACCGCTCTGGCGGGAAGGTAACAGCACTCCATGCAGTCATGCTGGCTACATGACCTTGGAGGTGTCTATGGACAACACTGGCTCTTTGGCTTAGAAATGGAGATGAACACCACACCCCCAGAGCTGGACATGACGGGACTTAATGTCAGGGGGAAAACTTTACCTTTATCTATCTATTCAATAGATCATAAATATAATGAATAAATTACCATTCTTATTTTTAATTTGCAGTTTTCACTTTCCTGCAGATCCTGTGGCCTTAAACCCAGTAGAATGTGGAGGGTTGGGTGTATAGCAGTTGTTAACTATGTGTTGTCGAAGGCTTTCATGGCCAGAATCACTGGGCTGCTGTGAGTTTTCTAGGCTGTATGGCCATGTTCCAGAAGCATTCTCTTCTGATGTTTCGCCCACTTCTATGGCAGGCATCTTCTGAGGTTGTGAGAATCCCTGCCATAGGTGTGGGTGAAACGTCAGAAGAGAATGTTCTGGAACATGACTGTATAGCCCTGAAAACTCACAGCAACCCAGTTGTTAGCTACTTTGCAGAGGGATTGAAAGTAGGGCTAGAATGACGTATTAAAAGTTACTTCCCAAATTCCGCTCTTTCCCTTCTACTCCAAAGCAAAGCTCAGCTTTTTGTTCCATCCATATATGAGCAAGTAGGGCACCCAAACTGTAAGAGTAGCTTCGTGTGCTTAGCCTGGAGGCCGATCCGTCTAGCAAATGAGAGATTAATTATGTGGCTTCCCCCTCTGGTGCTATGTTAATGAATCTTTTTATGCTATAATATATAGAGAGGGAGAGAAGAATGGGACTGCAGATGGGCGGATTTTCAAGGTTTGAAAAAAGGAAATTCTCATTTATAGTAGTTAGAAGGGAAGAATCCTCATGCTTTTGGAAATATGGGATCTTATTATACCCTCGGCTTCCAGGGCTTGAATTGAGCAGTCCCTCCCCAGGTGAACCTCCTTCCAGCTCAGTCCTAAGACGTGCTTTCAAGTTCGGCAGACTCCCCCTTGCCTCTTTATCCTTTGAAATAGTCTGCTTAAAGGTACTTACAGCTCTCTAAGGCGCCTTCTACACTGCCATAGAAAATCCAGATTATCTCCTTTGAACTGAATTATATAGCAGTGTAGACTCTTACTTAGGCAATCCCTCATTGTCCGAGTAGAATAGTCTTCCAAGATTAGTGTACTGGTGGGTCCGTAGGTGACTGTGGAGCCCTATTCTTGATCTGCATCTTCTCCTGCAGTGAGGGCATTAGTTTCCAGGTGGAAGGCAGTCTCGGTCAGGGTTGGCTTGACACGCCTTCCTCTTGGCACGTTTCTCTCTTTCACCCTCCATTCATGCCTCTTCAAATTCTACAGCACTGCTGGTCACAGCTGACCTCCAGCTGGAGTGCTCAAGGACCAGGGCCTCCCAGTTCTCAGTGTCTATGCTAGAGTTTTTAAGGTTGGCTTTGAGACCATCTTTAAATCTCTTTTCCTGTCCTCCAACATTTCGTTTTCCGTTCTTGAATTCGGAGTAGAGCAACTGCTTTGGGAGACAGTGGTTGGGCATCCGGACAACGTGGCCGGTCCAGCAGAGTAGATGGTGGAGGACCATTGCTTCAGTGCTTGTGGTCTTTGCTTCTTCCAGCACACTGATATTTGTCCGCTTGTCTTCTCAAGAGATTTGCAGGATTTTCTGGAGGCAACGCTGATGGAATCGTTCCAGGAGTTGCATGTAATGTCTGTAGATAGTCCACATCTCGCAGGCGTATAGGAGGGTTGGGAGGACAATAGCTTTATAAACAAGCAACTGGATCTTCACTGCACGACAGATTATAATCTGGATTATATAGTGTCAAAGGGGCCTGAGATATGCAACCAACTCACACTGGATCTCCAAGAACAGCAAATGGCACACATCCACACAAAAGGGCTTAAGCAGCTGAGCGGGAAAAGGAAGGGGCTTGAGGCTGTTAGGAATTATGGGAGTTGAAACCCAAACACCTGGAGAAGCCAAAGTTTGCCCATGTCTGCTTTAGAGCCTAGGACAGGTTCTCAGTTGAGACCAGACTCAAATAGAAACCAAAGTATCCAGGGAGATGGAACATATTTTTTATTGTTCATCTTGTGTCCTTTATGTCACCCATGTCAACAAACACTGCTAGGAAACCAACACCGTCACCAGATGGAGCAACAGGTTAATCTAGAGAGAAACATAACTGATGGATGAACTATGCAAACCTTGTGTTTATTCTTTCTTCACACAGCCAAGTCAATTACCATCTGCCAACTTCCCGCAAGCCATTTTTTCCAGATGGTTGTGTTTAGCTGGTTTGATGGGCATTGTAGTGCAGCACATCTGGACACATCAACTTGTAGAAAGACTGGTGTGTTATCTTTCTCATTTCTTCCAAATTATATGATGTGTATCTCCTGGGCTGCATAGACAAATAGGGGGGAACTGTATGTATTATGATCCAGTGACTTTTGTAAGGCTATGTACGCCACAAGCCTGGACTAACTACGTACTTGACAGATTGCATCTCCTCTTACAATCCAGCTCAGGCACTGTGGTCAGCAAAGACGGCCCTGCTCTCTGGGCAGAGTCTCCAGCCGTTTATCCTCTTATCCATGACTGTAAAGCAGTGTTTCTCAATCTGGGGGTTGGGACCCCTGAGGGGGTCACGAGGGAGTGTTAAAGGGGTCTCCAAAGACCATCTGAGAACACAATATATTTTGTTGGTCATGGGGGTTCTGTGTGGGCAGTTTGGCAAATTCTATCGTTGGTGGGGTTAGGGATGCTGTTTGGTTGTAGGTGAACTATAAATCCCAGCAGCTATAACTCCCAAATGTCAATGTCTATTTTCCCCAAACTCCACCAGTGTTTACATTTGGGCATATTGAGTATCCATGCCAACTTTGGTTCAAATCCATCATTGTTTGAGTCCAGAGTGCTCTCTGGATGTAGGTGAACTACAACTCCAGAACCCAAGGTCAATGCCCAACAAATCCTTCCAGTATTTTTTGTTTGTCATGGGAGTTCTGTGTGCCAAGTTTGCTTCAGTTCCATGGTTGGTGGAGTTCAAAGTGCTCTTTGATTGTAGGTGAACTATCAATCCCAGCAACTACAACTCCCAAATGAAAGAAACAATCCCTTCCTAACCCCACCAGTATTCAAATTTGGACATAGCGGGTATTTGTGCCAAATTTGGTCCAGTGAATGAAAATACATCCTGCATATCTGATATTTACATTACAATTCATAACAGTAGCAACAAAAATAATTTTATAGTTGGGGGTCACCACAACATGAGGAACTGTATTAAGGGGTCGCAGCATTAGAAAGGTTGAGAATCACTGCTGTAAAGAATCCTGCATAGTAGAGGGTTTTTTAAAAAAAAAGAATAAGCAGATTATACACCACTGTATACATTATAAATGGTGCAAAATAAAACAAGACGTTATGCAGAACAAAACTGTGATACATTATGCAAGATAAAGTAATACATTATGCAGAATAAAAGAGTATATCAAAATATGTTTGCTCCAGATAATATGCTCAGATTGCTCAAATTCAGCTTTTTTGCCTCTTAACTGGGAATGGGTAAGAGGAAAAAATAATACTGAATTAGAAAAATTATGCACTCTTTCGTAGTCAATTGGATCATGTCTATCTGCACTATGCTGGCTACTAGAAATTCAGTTCAACATCTAGAAAAATGGTTCTCAACCTTCCTAATGCCCTGACCCCTTAATACACGTAACCCCAACCATAAAATTATTTTTGTTGTACTTAATCACTTTAATTTTTCTACTATTGTGATTCGTAATATAAATACCTGATATGCAGGATGTATTTTCATTCACTGGACCAAATTTGGCACAAATATCCAATATGCCCAAATTTGAATACTGGTTGGACTGGGCAGGGATTGTTTTTTTTTTCATTTGGGAGTTGTAATATTTGGGATTTATACTTCACCTACAATCAAAGAGCAATTGAACCAGACTTGGCACACAGAACTCCTGTGACCAATTTATAGTTCACCTATAATCAAAGAGCATTCTGAAACCTACCATCAATAGAATTGGGCCAAACTTCCCACACAGAACCTCCATGACCAACAGAAAATATTGTGTTTTCTGATGGACTTTGGCATCCTCTGACATTCCCTCGCAATCCTTCCAGGGCTCCCAATCCCCAGGTTTAGTAATTCTGACCTAGATAATGGTCTCATTCCCAACCTTTCTTCTGACCAGTGGTATCCAACTTTTGATCCTCCAGGTGTTTTGGACTTCAGCTCCCAGAATTCCCTACCATTGGAGAAGTTGACCAGAGCTACTGGGAGTTGGAGTCCCAAATGCCCGGAAGACCAAAGGTTAAACACCACTGCTTGTAGACCATGTAACAGGGCTTGGAAAAGCTGGAGGGTGTACTGTACTTCAAAATATAACTCCATAATATGAAAACCTCACTCTAATTTTGCCCCTATTTCACTCTCTTAGGAATGACATGCCAAGCCAGAACCTCCTACACAGAAGATGAAGTTCTCTGGGGCCACAGGTTCCTCCCAGTGATGTCTCTGGAAGACGGCTTTTTCCGGGTGGATTATTCTCAGTTTCATGGAACGTTTGAAGTCCCAACTCCCCCCTACAGTGTGAAGGAACAAGAAGAGAAGTTGGCTCTCCCGTCACCTTTGAACACCCCCACTGGAAGCAACAGAAGCCGAAGGGACAAGCTCTCCTCCCTGGACTGTCTTGATATTTTTGAAGAGAAAAGTGGCAGGCTTCCTAGCAAACTCCAGAAAATTTGCTCTGGTAAAGGAGATCTCCATAGAGGAGTTCTCAGCCTCTGCTCCAGTAGTGTGGAGAAAGCCAGCAGCACGGGTGACCTCTTGAAAATCCAACAGATCAGTTCAGTCTGCAGCATAGAGGACAGGGAGGAGAAGATCCAATCGACAGCCTTCAAAACCAAATCAGAGTTGCTGGCACGGTCAACCGGGAACCTTGAACTCCAACAGAGGCCTCAACCCCCACGCACCTTGGGGGCAAGATTAGAGGATAATTTGCCTGCCAAACTCCGGAAAATGAACTCTGGGCACCTGTTGTAAACACCAGCCGACCCACAAGCAGCCATGATTGCATTTCAAACTCCGGGTTATTACTGTGAAGAGTAGGGTTGGGGGAATGTTGAGTTTCCAGTTGTGGTTGGACTACAACTCCATGATCTCTGGCATCTCCACATGCGACAGGACTTGTAAGACCCATAGAAAGTAAGGGCCTGCCCCATATAGTGGGCTGTTCCCTATCTCTAATGAAGAAGGACTCGTAAAACCTATGGAAGCACTGCTCCATATGAAGGGCTGTTCCTCATCGCTCATGCAGAAGATCCTGAGGCTCATATGTACACTACTAATGTCAACCCAATTTAAATTAGAATAAAAAGCATAGCTTCAACTCATTAAAATGTGGCAGTTCGGTAAACTGTCAGTCAGAAGAATATCATAAAGACTGAATGGTCATAGAATCATAAAGTTGGAAGAGACCACAAGAACCACCCAGTCCTGCCCCAATCTGTTATGCAGATATACACAATCAAAGCACTCCCGACAAATGACCATATAGTCTCTGTTTAAAAACTTCTCCATACTCAACATATTCCACAGCTAAACAAGAAGATCTCCCTGATGTTTAGATGGAAACTCTTTTTCTGTAGCTTGAATCCATTGCTCTGTGTCCTGGTCTCTGAAATAGAAAAAAAGCAAGATTCTCCCACCCTCAATATTGTGGCGGAATGAACATTACACATAGTTCATGTCTTTACCAATCCACACACTGTCTTGCTAGAGAAAAGATATGCCATGCAAATGATCAGTAAAGAATAAGGTGTTTACTCTTTGTTATGCAGAGCGACATATATACAGTCATGAGAACAATTGCATTGACGCACACAATGTCCTTTGAGAGAGATTCAAATGGTCCTTAGGTGTCCATGTGAAAGATCTTCTTCCAGCAACCAAGAAGCAAAAATACTGCTTCTGCACAGTGAACCGAAACGTGTAACTGTTGCCAAAACTCCCAGACTCAGCTAGCTTCTTGGGCATAGTCCAATCAATCATCTTTGTGCTTTGCATTTTCCAGTGAACACACTCACCAAGTGATTTTTACATGCTCCAACAAATATGACATTCTTTCAAATATTTATACATGGTTATCATATCTGCTCTTAACCTTCTTTTCTATACCCAGCTCCCCAAGCCAGTCTTCATAGGGCTTTTAGCATGTTGGCTGCCCATCTCAGACACAATCCAGCCTCCCAATATCCTTCTTAAGTTTCTGATAAGGTCTGACAAAATTTGCAGGTCAAGATCCTTTTACTAGGGAACACAATATAAGTGCCCATGGATTGAACTGTGGCATGTGGCCTGTTTCAGATGGAAACCAAATCAGTCTAGGATCATACACAGAGGGTTTATATGAGCTGACGCAGTCCAAAAAAAAAGGATCTAAATCCAATGAAGGCATCATTAAAAATAATAATACAAGGAGCAAGCCAAAGGTCAGGAAACCAGAGGGCAGAGAGAGTCACAGAATGCCAAGGAGCAGCAGAGAGATGGCCTCGGCCGTGCTCATGTATAGCTATCTGTAAATGAGCACATCTGACCTAATTATGTCAGTCTTTCCTTTTTAAACCAAACCACTTTTTGCATTTCCGGCTAGGCAATTCTGAGAACCTTAGTCCAACACACCTGGGACAGGCCCTATATCCCAGGACCTGACCCCAAGTTTTCTGCTTTAAACTGGATTATATGAGTCCACACTGACAAATAATCTGGGATAAACAGAAAACCTGGGTTCAGATCCTGGGATACAGGGCCTGTCTAGAAGGGCCACTGGAGGGAAGTGGGTTGAGGAAGGCTGAAGTCTTTATTGTTCCCACCTTTCCTCCAATAAGACTTAGTATTTATTTATCGTGTCAGGCAACCAAACAGTTGTATTACATTTTTGACAGAACAGACAAACAAACATACAAAAGACACAGAGTTTGCAAGCTTGGTAGTTGATTAAATGTCCTTTGACCAGTATCTGGCCACTTGGAGTGCCTCTGGTGTTGCCGCAAGAAGGTCCTCCATTGTGCATGTGGCAGGGCTCAGGTTGCATTGCAGCAGGTGGTCAGTGGTTTGCTCTTGTCCACACTCGCATGTCGTGGATTCCACTTTGTAGCCCCATTTCTGAAGGTTGGCTCTGCATCTCGTGGTGCCAGAGCGCAGTCTGTTCAGCGCCTTCCAAGTCGCCCAGTTTTCTGTGTGCCCAGGGGGGAGTCTCTCATTGGGTATCAGCCATTGATTGAGGCTCTGGGTTTGAGCCTGCCACTTTTGGACTCTCGCTTGCTGAGGTGTTCCAGCGAGTGTCTCTGTAGATCTTAGAAAACTATTTCTTGATTTAAGTCGTTGGCGTGCTGGCTGATGCCCAAACAAGGGATGAGCTGGAGATGTCTCTGCCTTGGTCCTTTCACTATTGGCTGCTACTTCCTGGCGGATGTCAGGTGGTGCAATACTGGCTAAACAGTGTAATTTCTCCAGTGGTGTAGGGCGCAGACACCCCGTGATAATGCAGCATGTTTCATTAAGAGCCACATCCACTGTTTTAGCGTGGTGAGATGTGTTCCACACTGGGCATGCATACTCAGCAGCAGAGTAGCATAGCGCAAGGGCGGATGTCTTCACTGTGTCTGGTTGTGATCTCCAGGTTGTGCCAGTCAGCTTTCGTATATTGTTTCTAGCACCCACTTTTTGCTTGATATTCAGGCAGTGCTTCTTGTAGGTCAGGGCACAGTCCAGAGTGACTCCCAGGTATTTGGGTGCGCTGCAATGCTCCAGTGGGATTCCTTCCCAGGTGATCCTCAGAGCTCGGGATGCTTGTCTGTTCTTGAGATGAAAAGCACATGTCTGTGTTTTAGATGGATTAGGGATCAGTTGGTTTTCCCTGTAATAGGCAGTAAGAGCCCTAGAGCTTTGGAGAGCTAATAAGACTTAGTCATTCTTCCTATAACATTGACTACAACACACTCAGACCAATAGAAATAGCCCAGGTTTTGTTCTTAGGCCTCTCTACATTGCCATGCAATATACTATGAAACTGCATTTTATGGCCAGTGCAGACTCCTATAATGCAGCTCAATGCAGTTAAACTACATTATATGAATCTACAGTAGTCATATAATACAGTTTCAAACCTCATATAATGCAGTTTCAAATTGTATTAAAAGCAGTCCCAGAGTTGCAAATATTCGACTCATAGTTAAGAACAGAGGCAAGACAACAGTATGTGAGAGAAATCTACTCCTAGGAAGGGAAATTCACTCCTGAAAGACTTATCATGTGGGAAAGATGTCTCCACTGAAGCTTTGTCTCCAATCCTTGTTTCCACAAGAAGCCAGATTTTTCAATCTTCTGAACAGAGGCACAGACAACAAAACAAACACCACAGGGGTGTTAACCCTTCCCTGTGCTATCCAAAGTGTGTTTGTGTGTGTGTGTGGCTGGAATTACATTTAAAACTGTACCTTTTCGAACTTACAAACACATTCTATTTGTTTGTTTGTTTGTTTGTTGCTTTTATATACTGCTTTTTCTCATTGCTTAGGGGTCTCAAAAGCGGTTGACATATAAATAAATAGCAAAAATTCAATGCCTCACATACAATAAAAACAGTATATCACACATCCAGGGGTGGCTCAACCCATTACGCAAAGTAAGCATTTGCAGTATTGTTGATTTTGCCCAGGGGCGCTATTGAGGGAAAACAGACCTTGACATAGGTGAGTTGTAGTTACTGGGCTGTATAGTTCACCTACAATCAAAGAGCATTCTGAACTCCACCAGTGATGGAATTGAACCAAATATGGCACACAGAACTCCCACGACGAACAGAAAATATATATATCAGTGATTGGTTGGGTGGGGGGGCCAAAATACTGTTTGCTTACCATTGAAAATTACCTAGGGCCGCCTCTGCACACATCTGAAACAATAATATATAACTATAAATTAAACCATTAAAAACTAAAAACCATTGACATCATCATCATAAAACATTTTGACATTGCACTGATCCCAGGGTTATCATCCATCTGCTACGTTATTGTTATCTCTCACCGAATGCTTGTTCGCATAACCAAGTTTTTAGTTGTTTTCTAAACACCAGGAGGGAAAGGGCCAATCTAATCTCACTGGGGAGGGAGTTCCATAGCCAAGGGGCCACCACCGAGAAGGCCCTGTCTCTCGTCCCCACCAATCGCGCCTGCAACGACGGCATGACTGAGAACAGGACCACCCCAGCTGATCGTAATGCTCTAACTGGCTCATAATGGGAGATGTGTTCAGATAGGTAAATTGGACCAGAACCATTTAGGGATTTATAGGCTAAAGCCAGGACTTTGAATTGTGCTCGGTAGCAAACCAGCAGCCAGTGGAGCTGATACAACAGGAAGGTTGTGTGCTCCCTGTATGCCACTCCAGTGAGCAATCTGGCTGCTGGCCACTGGACTACTTGAAGCTTCCGAACAGTCTTCAAAGGCAACCCCACGTAGAGAGCATTACAGTATTTGGCTTAAGAACAAACCTACAGAACCTATCTTGTTTGTATCTTGGGAACTACCATTATGTGTATAGTATAAAGCAGCCCTAGTCTCTCTAATTTTATACTGGGTCAAAATATACTGCTAAAAGTTTTCCAAGATCTTGATGATTCTCTACCAGGTGCCTCAGCAAACTACAAATCCAATAATTCCATAGCATTCAGCCCTGGCAGTTAAAATGCTGTCAAAGTGCATTAATTTTGCATAGCAAGAGAGAAAGAATGCTATCCTAATCCAATAGAGAGGGTTATGAATTTGCTTTAAATAGGCCCACAAAGAAAATCGTTTTAGCCATGGCTCGTTCCCAAAATCCCATCTGTTTCAGATGATCGCCCATCAAGAACAACACAGTCAATCAATGTTTTCACAGTGGTGTCAAATGGAAACCTTGTTCATACAGGACAGAAGGTAGGAGATATATCCATGTGTAATGTTCTTTGTTCCACTGATTTATTTTTAGAAGTAAGGATTTCATTGCACATATCCAAGATGGCAGTCCAAATTACTCATCAGGTTTGTACCTGTTTACCTCCAGCAACATGACATTATCTTCCTCCAGCCTGGCATCCCAGTGGTTGTTGATCCTGCTATTCGAGGATGGTGGGGATTGTAGTCCAAAACATCTAAGCCAGTGTTTCTCAACCTCCCTTACTACAGTTCCTCATGTTGTGGTGACCCCCACCCATAACATTATTTTCGTTGCTACTTCATAACTGTAATTTTGCTACTGTTATGAATCGTAATGTAAATATCTGATATGCAGGATGTATTTTCATTCACAGGAACAACTTTGGCATGAATACTCGATACGCCCAAATTTGAATACTGATGGGATTGGGGGGTGGGATTGATTTTGTCATTTGAGAGTTGTAGTTGTTGGGATTTATACTTCACCTTCAATCAAAGAGCCTTCTGAACTCCACCAATGATGGAATTGAACCAAACTTGACACGCAGAACTCCCATGACTAAGAGACAACACTGGAAGGGTTTGGTGGGCAATGACTTTGAGTTTTAGAGTTGTAGTTCACCTACATCCAGAGAGCAGTGTGGACTCAAACAATGATAGTTCTGGATCAAACTTGGCACGGATACTCAATATGCCCAAATGTGAACACTGGTGAAGTTTGGGGAAAATAGACCTTGACATTTGAGAGTTGTAATTGCTGGGATTTATAGTTCACCTACAATCAAAGAGCATTGTGAATTCCACCAGTGATAGAATTGGGCCAAACTTGGCACGCAGAACTCCCCTGACCAACAGAAAATACTGGAAGGGTTTGGTGGGCATTGACCTTGAGTTTTGGAGTTGTGGTTCACATACAACCAGAGAGCACTGTGGACTCAGACAATGATGAATCTGGACCAAACTTGGCATGAATACTCAATATGCCCAAATTTGAACACTGGTGGAGTTTAGTTGGGGAAATCAGACCTGACATTTGGGAGTTGTAGTTGCTGGGAACAATCAAAGAGCATTCGGAATCCCACCAATGATAGAATTTGGCCAGACTTCCCACACAGAACCGACATGACGAACAGAAAATATTGTGTGTTCGTGAT